CCGGCCGCCGCTTATGAGCCGACTCGGGGGTGATGTCACCGTCGCCCCACCCCCACGGCCGAGCGGCCCCCTCCCCCTCTCTCAGCCTCCTCCCGCTCGCTCTGTCACTCCGCCCACCTCCTCCCGAGGAGGAGACGCCGCTCCAGCGGGAGCCCGGTTGGCTGCTACCTGCAGGCACCCCCAGCGCCTCCTTCACAAGGTCCTACTCGCCCTCGGTCCAGGTTCCTGGCCCGGCGGCCGCAGATCGCCCGACCCACTCTTCCAAGCTGCAGGAGAACGGCTCCCTGCCTCTTTCCAGCCATCCCCGACCCACTCCTCCCGGTCCTCGCAGGCCGGACCCTGGTATTCCCGGTGGCCGCCTGATCCTCGCAGTCTGGTAGCCCGTCCTCATCTCCACCGCCTCTGCTGTCCCGCAGGGGCCTGGGCGTGTTGGGTACCACGGTTTTAAGCTTCTCGGCTCCCTGCGCCTGCGTTGGCCACTTGAAGAGCTCCAGCGGCTGCCCGGAGGCGAAGACTGGGCGCACCTGCTGCCGGGCTTGCTGCGGGGCTGTGCCAGAGCCGCGGTCCTGCCTTCGCTTGGCGCGGGAGGTCCGGGTCCCAGCTCCTGGGGTGACGGGTGTCCGTGAGCTTCTGAAGTAGGCCTCTCCCCTGCCGCGGCCCACCATCCAGGGGCGAAGTCCAGGACTCCCAAAGGGGAGCCTGCCTGGCTGAGGAGCGAGACTAGAGTTTGCCACCAAGATAAAGGACTGTTTAGTGCCCCCTGCCACCACCCCCCTGCCTTGTGTGGGGACAGTAGGGGCGGCTGACCTGGAGAAGGCGGGGCAGGAATAGGGTAAGGCTGCCCCCTGGTGCCTGGTGGGGGCACAGACCTTCCCTCAGCTCCGCACCCTTAGCTCCTCTTCGGGGGGACCCCCAGGCCTCCAGAATAGGAGAGAGCTGTTGAGCTCACTTCCCACTGCCAGCAGAGCGGCTTACTTGGAGTTTTCTAGGGCCAAGACTACCTTGAGTGTGAGACCAGGAAGGAAGGGGTCATTGTCCTGGCTTGAGGGGGTAGAGTGTGCCCCCATCAATCCCAGGCTCCCTGATCTGATGGCAGGCACTGCTGTCCCCAGATGGCTCACCCTGTTAAGCTAAGCCGGCAGCCATCCAACCTGAGCCGGATTGAGCCTGCTGGGTGAGGGAGGAGCAGTTTGCAGGAGGAATCTCTAGGGTTGTGTGTGGAAGTCCTGTGTGGCCTGTCCTCAGGTTGGGAGGAGAGGGCCTTTTGAGGTAGCAGGGTCACACTGCTAATCAGAAGTCCCTAACTTGGGTCTTCTTTGGCACAGCCTGGGACTGAAGCTGGTATGGAGACAAAGGCGACAGAGAAATGACCCACAGATGGCCTGGAGAAGCCAGGGCCACCTGAGGACCCAGGACACAGGGGGAAGAAGGCCAGCCCAGTGAACCACAGGCAGTCCTTATGTCATTTGAGAGAGGAGAGAAGACCTGGTGAAGTAGGCACACAGGAGGACAGAGTCGGGGGCGGGGTGATGCCAATGATGGGAGGGCAGTGATGTGGGTGAGGAAGAGGAGCAGGCAGAGGCCAGATAGTGCCCGGTGCCATGGACATGTAGAAGGGAGAGAAGGTAGTGGCTTGAAAAGGAAGATGTAGGTGAGCCAATGACACTTTGAGGAAGTGGTCACAGCAGCAGTCCCTCCTTTGCCCTGTGCCTGCTGGATGGGAGGGGAAGTGGGTTCTAAGGCCAAGGGCAGGTCCTTGAGGAAGCTACCACCTGCGACTGCTGTTGGCTCTATGGGATCAGAGGTTGCTGAGGGAGAGGAAGAGGTGGCCAAGGACAGAAGTGAAGGGTGAGGTAGCTGCTGGGAATGGCTGCCACTGCTCCACCGATCACTGCTTTCATAGAGTGTCTCCAGACTTTTAGAGCTGACGCCTGCACATTTGGGGGGACAGGTCCAATAGGCCCTCAGATCTGACTCAACAGGATGCCATCTCCCAGCCCCCTCAACCTTCCATGTCTAGGCCTGGTTCCCTGTAGTGCCCCCTCACTGTGACAGGGCCTGCAGTTTCCTCTCTGGACCCTCTGGAATGCTCCCACTTCCCTGCACCCACTTTCAGCCAATCACCCCCCTGGCTGGCCTGGCAGCAGCAGTGGCCCTCTTCTCATGGTCTGCTGCAGCCAGACGGTCCCTCTATAAGCACACACATGACCAGTCCCTCCCATGTCTGATCCCCTTCTCTGGGCTTTTCTGTGCCCTGGAGATAAAACTAAATTCTTTGCCATGATCTGGACTTTTGCCTCCTCAGCTCAGGCCACCACCGGTGAGCAGTTCGCTCCTGGAGCTTCCCTCCATGCTGGCTGCTGCCTGGCCACCTGGTGCTCCATCAGGACTCCCTATCTAGGAGGCCGCAGGAAGTACAGAGCCCTCCCTGAATCAGACACACCAGAGCTGTCCTCCCAGCCAGGAGCAGCTGCACACGAAGTTAAGGGGAATCTCCTCCTCGGCTGGCTGGGCTGGAGTTTTCTGATCAGAGCCTGGGCTGGAGCTCTGGCCTCTGGTGTGTGCCCTGACCAGAGCACTGAGAGGACAGTTACAGTGCTGCCTGAGGCAGCTCACAGAAGGTGCTGAGTGCCTGGGAGACAAAGGCAAAGGGATTTCCGGCCCAGGGTGGGTTCTCCCCTCTGTACGGAGGTTCTGAGACTTTTCTCTGGCTATGTCAGGGCACATCTTGCCCCTCCCAGAGGCAGCAGGTTCTGAGGATGAGCAGGGTAGACGCCTCAGGTCCCCAGCTGAGGAACAGGGGGCTGTCCCTCACCAGCCCTGTCCAAGCCTCAGCCTGTCCTGCCAGGCCTTTGTGTTCTACTCATGGAAAGGGATTCCAAGCATGTGCACGAGGGACTGGGGTGCACACAGCCCAGAGTTCCCTACTGTAGCTCCTGGGTGAGAAGCAAACTGTTCCCTGTGGAGAGGTGATAAAGGCAGAGCTGTGCCCTCTGTTTGTTCTGCCATGTCCCAGGGAGCAGGCGGCCTTTCAGATCCCAGCTAGGGCTGAGGGGTAGAGTAGGAGCTGAGAGGGAGGAAGCTGGAGAGGGCTCTTGTTTGTTGGGCAGCCCTCTGGCCTGAGGGCAGCTGGGTGGGCAGCTGCAGGCAGGGTGGGAGGCCTCCTCTGCTGGAGACGCAAGGAGCTTTGCAATTAGAATTAGCTAGGGACAAAGGGAAGCCGGAGTCCACCTGGAAGGGCTTTGTACTTACAGCTCCTGGGAGGGAGCTGTAGCCAAGAGGGAGAAGAGAAAGAATGGGTTGGGGGCAGGGGTCACAGGGCTGGGGGCCACCCCCTGCACCCCTTGCCCTTGCCTACCAGCTGTACTCCTTTATGCAGACCCTGTGAAAGGAGTTTTCGGTTTGTTTTTTACCTTTTATATTTGACTAGTTTTCGATGTACAGAAAGATTGTGCAGACAGTGCCAAGAGTTCCTGTCCAGCCTCTCCCAGCCTCCCGTGACTCACCTCCTGCAGCGTGTACTTCCTTGAGTTACTGAGCTGGTATCAGTCCCTTGTTATTAAGCAAAGCCCATAGTTCGTTCAGATTTTCTTAGGTTTTCCTTAGTGTCCTTTTTCCTGTGCCAGGATCCCATCTAGGACCCTACATTGCACTTAGTTGTCACATCTCCAGAGGCTTCTCTTGGCTATGACAGCTTCTCAGCCTCTCCTTGCTCTTGGCAGCACTGACCTTTCAGTTGTGTTAGAGTGTGCCCACATGTAGGGACTCAGAAGCCATCAGGAGAAAGACCACCATGACTTCTCACTGTCTCCATGGCCCAACAACTGTGAAATGACTCCCGGAAGAAAGCTTAAGAAGTCAGGGACCCTGGGCAACCTCTGTGAGGGGAGTGTCTGCACCCGCCCACACTGGTTAATTTAATCATTTATTTCTAATGGTATGGATTCGTGGATATCTACTTCATACTTTTGGTTATAGCCTAATACGACTCTCTCTTTTTTGTTGTTCAACTTTCTCAGTGACCTTTGGAGGCTCTTTCGGTTGGCTCTGGCGGCCTGTGATGTGCCCCCTTCACTGTGTGTGACTTTGATGTTTCCTGCCCAGTCCTAGAATCAGCCATTTCTTCAAAGAGCCTTTTTTTTTGAGAATGGTGTTAGAAACTTAAGGTAGACTCTAGGCGTACTCGTTGTTACTGGAGTATTGCTGTTGACAGAACAAGGACATTTACATATGAGTATGTCCCAGCCCACGTGTACACGTGAACATATACAAATGCGTCAGTATGGTGGCTCACACCTATAGTCCCAACTGTTCTGGAGGCTGAGGCAGGAGGCTCCCTTGAGGCCAGCAGTTCAAGGCTGCAGTGAGCTCTGATCCTGCCACTGCACTCCAGCCTAGGTGACAGAGCAAGGCCCTGTCTCTACAAAATAAATAGAAACTAAACCCCAGTTCTTACCGATGTCTACACCCCTGAATTATGACTGCTTGGGTCACTCAAGCCTCCTCCAGTTGCTTGTCCAAAATTGAGGACCCTGGCTCCTAGCACTTGCCAGACATGCAAGGGATTGTGTGGTCCAGTAGGAAGCTGGAGCGGTTTCAGAATTTCTAACTCATACCCTTGTGGGGAACAACTGCATCAACCAGAGTCAAGTGCTATGAATAGTTCATTTCCAAAGTACCCCTTCCTGCCCAACCCCCTTCAGTGAGGCTGTTTAATACGTTTCTAATATGGCAAGATTCCTTTTTTTTTTTTTTTT